TGGGTAGTTTTTCTGTAACTAAGTTGCTGGGTCATTTTTAATGCTGGGTTATTTTTTTCTACCCAACCGCTGGATTGAGCCTGTCTCCGATGAAACAACCCAGCAGCTGAGTAAAATTAGCACTATTTCAGTGAAAAGGGATTAGCAAGAACGGTTGAATACACTTAAATTAAAATGCTTCTTTTAAATGTTACAGTTTCTATAATGCTTGTTAAACGGGTTTAAATGTATGTAATATGCTGTATTCACCCAAATAAATTCAATTTGTTTTTTTGTCTATGGGTGTTCTTTCTTATTAATAGTAATTAATTAGTAATTCTGTCTGTGATTTTTAATTTCCTGCCTATTTTAAGCCAGCAATAGTAATTTTTAAACAACAGTTGACTTAAATAAAACAACCCAGCATGCTAGGTAAAAACATTTAACCCAATCAGCTAGGTCAAAATAACCCAGCATGTGTTCTGTCCAATATTTACCCAGCGCTGGGTTGCCAATTAACCCAAGTTGGGTTGTTTTTGGGTACAATCTAAAAAATGCTAGGTTAAACACAACCCAGCACTGGGTAACATATGGATGATCCATAACAATATTTCTTCTGCTTCATCAGTTGCAATTAATTAGCAATTAATGCAATTGCATTTATGTATATTTATTTATTTACATTTTTCATCTACAGACACTCCTAGTTTCTGTACAATAAATTTCTGGATTCCAGAAAAAAGGTCGCTCGTAATTTTACTCTAAAATTATTTATTTATCTATTTATATTTAATTAATTTATTTTTTTTATTTTTTTTAGTATTTATCTTAATTGATTTATTTAATTTTAGTACTTTTTTGTTGTTTTAAGTTGTCTGTTTTTAAATTTTTTTTACTTTTTTATGATTACATTTTTAGCATTTTTTTATTGTTTTTTTTTTTTTCATTATTTATTTTAATCAGATATGGTGAATTAAAATAAGAAATATCTTGATTTTTATTCGTTTAAACTTATTTTACAGCTTGTTTTATATTATTTTTACTGATTTTAAGTAATCTTGAGGCCCTGGAATCCTGGCTGAGAGCCGCTGGTCTAGTCATCATAATAAATCAGTCTAATTAGAGCTAATTACAGTGAAGGTACCCACCTTTGAAAATCAGTATTTTTGCGCATCCTTTGCTCAAGCTGCTTTCCATGAAGAGTAATGATGAGATTAGTTACTGTTTAAGAGCAGTAAAACACTAATAAACAGGTTTTAATAAACAATGTTTTATCTTATTTGTTTTTTATTATTTATTTCAATTTTACATTTCACTGATTTTATTAATTTGATCAAATTAATTTAAAAATATAATATTAAAAAAATCTTTTTAATTGTACATTTTTATGATTTAATTTGTTAAAAATTAGCTAGAAAATAAAACAAAATTATTTTTAATTTTACATTTTTATGATTTAAGTTGTTAAAATTAAATAAAAATTAAATAAAATGCAAAAAATAGTTTTCATTATCTTAATGCTACATTTTTATGATTAAATTAGTTTGTTACAAATTAAATAGAACATAAAATATAAAAAATAAATTTGTATGATTGAATTAATTTGTTAAAAAATAAAATCAAATGCAAAAAATAGTTTTGATTATTTTAATTCCACACATTTATGATTAAATTAGTTTATAATAATTTAATTTATTTTAATCAGATAGTTGTTGAAGGGGAAATATCTTGATTTTTACTAATTTAAGCTTGTTTTATCAGTCTGTGTACCTGCTGTCTCTCTCCGGCTGACACCTGCAGTCTGCGTCTGCGTTCTCTGCGCAGTCTCTGTAGAAGGTGGACAGGCAGACGTCGCTGCGGCGCACAAGCACAGGCGCCGGAGGACTCAGCGTGTTGCGGCGGCCGGCGGGAGGCTTGTGCGAGGCTGCGGCCGTCTGCGCAGCTGCTTTCTTTAACAGCTTCAGCTCTGATAAACAAACAAAGACTGAAATCAGACCCCGGACCACAAAACCAGTCATAAGGGTCCATTTTTTTAAATTGAGATTCATACATCATATGATTTCCATTGATGTATGGTTTGTTATGATCGGACAATATTTGGCTGAGATACAACTATTTGAAAATCTGGAATCTGAGGGTGCAAAAAAATCTAAATATTGAGAAAATCATCTTTAAAGTTGTTCAAATTAAGTTCTTAGCAATGCATATTACTAATCAAAAATTAAGTTTTGATATATTTACAGTAGGAAATCTACAAAATATCTTCATGGAACATAATCTTTACTTAATATCCTAATGATTTTTGGCATAAAAGAAAAATGGATAATTTTGACCCATACAATGTATTGTTGGCTACTGTTTCTGACGTCTACAACTAAAACGTCAGAAACAGGAAGACCAGACGCGAGTCTCGATTATCAGTAGGCATGTAACGATTCACTCAACTCACGATTCGATTCACGATTTTGATTTCAAGATTTGATTTTCTCACAATTTTTTTCAACAAAATGAGATTGAAGACAAATTATACAGTAAATGAAAAGGTGTCCTTTTATTAGGCTATTGCTGCACGTTTCTTTGTGAAATTGAAATATAACAAAACTAAACTGAAATTTTAAAACAAACCCCAAATCAAATAAGTAAGAAAATTACAGGCAACCACTGCATTTTAATCATGATCCAAATAAAGATGCAGCATACATGCAGATTTTAATCTAAATTAGATTGCATAATTTTGAAATTTGAAGCAAAAACAGAATGGGCTGACTGTAAAACTACTAGGAGTGTAACGATTCACTCGTTTTCTCGATGCATCGATTACAAACCCTGACGATGCATATGCACTTTAATTGTGAGGAAGGGTTAAAGGTCCCATGGCATGAAAATGTCACTTTATGAGGTTTTTTAACATTAATATGAGTTCCCCTAGCCTGCCTATGGTCCCCCAGTGGCTAGAAATGCAACTAAATATATACTGAAGTACATTTGATTGTGCTAAAGTGGAACTATTGCAAGTACACTGCAGGTACACTTTAAATATCTTGCATTTAAAGACTGATATAATTCATACAATCCTCATCAATAGTGACATTAAAACACATTTTAGGCTTAATATTAAGAAATGTGCATAGTGCACAAGTAGCTACTCCAAATAAAGTTTAATTATAATTTTTATATCAGTAAGTCTCAAGCGATATGTCAGAGAATGTATTAACAGATTTGAACTATACTTAGTTTGAAATAAATGCATTTAAAATGTATTACTTTTTTACTAGGGTAAATGCCGTATGTCATGCCATAACATCATTAAACTAACATCTAACAATTGACAAGTGTTTTTTTTTTGCCCTCTGACGAAGTATATAAAGAATTTAGAGGAAGCATTTTAATAATCCTGTGATTGCACTTAAAGAATGTAGAATCGCATCGCATCTGCGCATCGCATCGAATTTAACTGTGAATCGTCTCGAATCAAATCGTTCTGAATTTGCAAAGATCACTCTTGAATCGAATCGAAACCCTATGAATCGTGAATCGAATCGATTCGTTGTTTACCCAAAGATTCACAGCCCTAGAAACTACACATAAAACATATCTGAAGGAATCAGCAGACGAGCTGAATGAGACGCAGATTCACTCTCTCCAGCAGGTGACGCTTATTATGAACAGCACTGATACAGTGTTTCCTTGGTTACCGCTGTAAACAAAGCAGCGCTACACTTATGAACAGCACTGATATACCCCAATTGTATTGCGATTTGTTTGGCATCTCAACCGTTTTGAATCGCTACATATTTGAATCGATTTTCAACTGGCTCGCGTTTCATCATTACACCCCTAATTATCAGTCACTCACTGCTTCCTGACGGCTGAATGCTGCTCAGACTGTTGCTCTTGGCCAGACTCGTCAGCGACTCGTGGCTCGAGCTTTCACTCAACCCGCTCCAGCTGGACTGACGAATCAGAGCCAAGTAGGGGCGGGGCTTGGACAGTGCGTCTTCTGAAAACAGAAGCAGAATGTGAGAATGTGACACTGCTGACAGCTGTCAATCACGTGCTGGAGGCGGGGCATCTCTGACCTGCGGGGGTGCTGAATGATGCGCTCCTCTGCTGCTGTTTGATTGGCTGCCTGAACTGAGCCACGGCCAATACCACGTTACGCAGCTTCGCCCAGCGAAGACGCCCTCCCTGATTGGTGGATGGCCATTTGCTCTCTAGCACCGCCTACAGACGGCAGAATAAAACACACACGCATGAATAAAGACAAGACTTTCATCTGTACGTTATATCAGGGATTCCCAAACTCTTCCATCAGCCGAACCTCTTTGAGCTTAAGCATCTCCTTAAAGACTCCCTAAGATTTTGAGTTCAAGTTTCAGTAATTTAACAACACATTCACATGTTCATGGTTCTCTTGGTTAATGGTCACATGACATGCAGCTAAACATAACTCATCTTTTTTAGTCTTTTTTTCATCAAGTGTTTTACTTTGATTTTATTTTTAAAACATTTATCTTAAATGTGCATTTTTATGATCTAATTAATTTTAGTAAATGCTTTTTGGGGTGTTTTTATTTTATAATTATTTATTTATTTTAATTTTACTTTTAATTGTACTATTTTTAATTAATTCTAGTAAAAATGTTTGGTGTTTTTTATTTTTAAATGATGTATTTTAATTTGACATTTTTATTATTTAAAATGTAGTACTTGTTTTTTAAATGATTAATTTACTTTAATTTAATTTTTTATATTTTTATAACTCATTAAAATTTTAGCAAATATTTTTGATGGCTTTTATTTTTACATTATTTATTTATTCCAATTTGACATTTTTATGATTACATTTTTAGCAAGTGTTTTTTTGATTGTTTCTATTTTTGAATTATTTATCTGCTTTAATTTTACATTTTTATGATTGAATTAATTTTAGTAAATGTTTTGTTTTTTTGTATTTATTTTCATTTTAGATTTTTGTTTCATTTTTAGTAAATGTTTTTGATAATTTTTCTTTTCAAATTATTTACGTATTTTAATTTTACATATTTATGATTAATTAATTATTTGATTGCTTTTGCTTCTTTTAAAACGATTCATTTAAATTGTATATTTTTATAATTTAATGAATAATCAGCTTTTCATCAACTCATGAACCCCAGTTTGGGAAGCCCTGTGTGATCTCATTAATATGAAGTGCATCACTTTATTGTAGTATCCGTATGTGATGGTGTTGGGTGTAATTCCCGCCCGCTTCATCTCCAGCAGAACTCTGACCGCGAGAACCGGCTGACCGTACTGACCGCACAGCTGCATGAGGATACGGTAACACACCTGCGACACACACACACACACACACACACACACACACATCAAGAGCGAGACAAACTACAACACACTTACTGCGTCTACATCATATCACTAGTGCATTATACAATACAGATCGATTCAAAAATCTGTGTTTGTGTCTGTGTGTGTCTGTGTACGTGTGTGTATGTGTGTGAGAGAGTGTGTGTGAGTGTGTGTGCGCGTGTGTGTGTCTGTCTCTGACCTCGTCCGGCAGCACCACCTTGCGTGTCTCCATGTGTTTGAGCACCTCGTATGCGGCGTGCAGCGCTCGGACTTTAGTGCTCTCTGCTCTGACGAATGTTGGTAAGCAGATGAACCAGAGTCCGTAGCAGTGACCCAGCAGGCATTTGGACCACATCTCCGGCACCGTTGAGTACTTCTGCGCCTTCTTCTGCGCCAGCTTTATCTCCTGCAAACACACCAGCAGACAGCATCAGCCGACTGACCTCTGACCCCGTGACCTGACCTTCACCTGAGCGTCATCAAAGCCACTAGAAGGCAAGCCTGCAACCATTAGCCGACAAAAGCGTAACGGCTAAAGTCAAGTCAAGTCACCTTTATTTATATAGTGCTTTTAACAATACCGATTGTGTCAAAGCAGCTTTACGTATCAAACAGCGAGTGAGTGTCACACAACTCTGACTGAAATTCAATGACGTCAAGGCTGTATTGTGATTGGTTATTACGGCACATGTGATCCAAGTTAGCCGTTACGCTTTCTCCAATAGTAAGTAATACAGACCCTCTCATCTCCCTCTAGTAAGACAATCTCTGGCGTCGTACCTGTTTGGTGCGGCGGGGGGTGGGGCTACTGGGGGCACTTCCTTTAGCTGGAGTCCGCAGCGGATCCTGCGGCCGATCGAACAGATCCGACTGGAGGACCGGGAACGTGTCGTAGCTGCACACACACACACACATACACACACACACACACAATAATAATAATTACTGTTGCTGTTAATAGTGTTCATCGTCTGTTTGATTATTGATTGTCTTTAATTGATTTTTCGGTACATTTCTGCCATATGTACATAAACTGACAGTCACCACTGATAAGCTACCACTAAATACTGTAGAAACTTTATTTGCTGTAAAGTTGCTTTGCAATGATTTGTATCGTGAAAACTGCAAACAAGTGTTTAGTTAACAAAAATAGCTTAAGAACCAAAACCCCCCGTCAACCTGGTTTAAGTTGAAGAGGAAGTGAGCTGTGTTTCTGTCTGATGTAATAGTAATAATTAAGCTCATAAAAGTACATTCACTCACTGTTCTTCTGCAATGTATCTTGAGAGAATCATGACATGTGCACTAAAAAACCCAGAAACTTCTCTTAGAAAAGCTCACTGGGGTTTTTAATATCTGAAATTAGGTCATGTTTTATTCTACAACATGAAAAACTCTTTCATTTCCAGCATCATGTGCCCTGTTTGCACTTGACGTCTCCCGTAGTTTACACACACACACACACCTCTTCTGCTTGCCAAGGCTGCATTTATTTGATACAAAAAAATTAAAACAGTAATATTGTGAAATATATAATTACAATTTAAAATAACTGTTTTCTACTGTAATGTACTTTCAAATGTAATTTGTTTATCTTAATTTTACATTGTTTGATTTAATTAATTTAAGCAAATGTTTTTTGGTGTTGGTGTTTTTTTATTTTAAACTATGTATTTATCTTAGTTTTATATGTTTATGAGTGAATTCATTCATTTTAGTAAGTGTTTTCAGACCATTTTTGTTTTTAAAATTATTTCAATTTTGCAATTTATGATTTAATTTTTTATTTGTTTTATTTTACAATTATTTTAATTTTACATCTTCATGAATGAATTCGTTTTAGTAAGTGACTTTTATTGTTTTTTAAATTATTTTAATTTCATGTTTTTGTGATTCAATTAATTATTTGATTGTTTTTGTTACAATTATTTATTTAAATTTTATATTTTTATGATTTAATACATTTTTTGTTTTATTTTAGAATTATTATTATTTAATTAATCTTCATGAATTAATTACTTTTAGTAAGTGATTTTAATTGTTTTTTTTTATTATTTTAATTTGACTTTTATAATTATTTAATTAATTATTTGATTGTTTTTATTTAAAAAATTTTTATTTTAGTCTTAATAATCCAAAAGGAAATCCAATGGAAAAATCCTATTGGGTTTTTGTCAAGGAAAAGTTCGTCTACATCATCACTGCAGGATTTTACACATTACCTACAGTAACCTAAAACAATAACTGCTTAATATTAACCAATACAACACTGGTTACAATTCATATTTGTGAGACTGGTTAACCAAAAGCCTGCACGGCCTCAGTGACGTCAGCTGAGAAGGGAAGTCATATCAGACGTTTGAGAGCGTTTATAATGGAGGATCATCACTGATGATGATAATGATAATGGACAAACATGACTGATGATCACACACCTGTAGTGTGCAGGACACTCGGAGCCGTCGGCTTCCTGTGGCTCCTCCGGAGGCATAATAAACACCGTATGTTCACCGCTGTGACACTCGTCACGGTCGATCAGACGCACTTCCTCCGGCTTCTCCACGTCCACCTGACACACACACACACACACACAAACACAAACACACACACACTTCATTTCCAGCGATATCGTCGACTTGATTGCAAATGATTGCAATGACTGAACTGAGCTGGATGATGACATCACTGAATTCAATGATGAACTGCCTTTAACTGAAAATTTAGTGTTTACTATTGTCCTTTTGCATTATTGACACACTATTTTCCCATTTCATACTGTAAAGCTTTGACACAATCTGTATTGTTAAAAGCGCTATTTAAATTAAGGTGACTTGACACACACACACACACAGGTGTTACAGGAGCGATCTGATTGGCCGCTGTGGTCAGGTGACCGCAGGTGAGCGTCTGACCTTCTGCACACACTCGTCGAAGAACTCGAGGCAGCCGTGGCGGTCGCTGACGAACGAACACTCCTCGATGAACTGCGTGAACATCTGCGTCTTTGTGAGCTGTGTGTAAAACTTCTGCTGCGTTCGATCGCAAGACTTCAGGAACCCTGAGAAACACCCGGAGAAAACCATCAACCGTCATCTGCTGAATCAAACCAATGTTTCTTACTAATTATAGGCTGCTGGTTCCAGAAATAGTGTCTGTTTTGCTCTTTCACAACACACTTTCTCACTAAATATATCATTTTGTAGTATTTTAGTTTTTGAGAATCATTGGTGTGTGAATTAATCTTGTATTCTCTCCTAATCAGCAGAAAAACAGCAGAATCACATGATTCCTGTCTGAATCTGAGCCAACCATCAGATCAATTCTCGGCCCGTTTTCACATGCATGACAGTATTTAATATCTAATCCTGATTTCAAGGACAGAATTATGATCCAGAGACAGATGAAAACGCAAACATGAGCAGATGTTTCTGCCATTACTGCAGCCAAACAGACACAGAAAAGCTTTCATTTATAATCTTATGTATTAAATGACGTATTTTAAAATTTTTCCACTCCTTTGCAGAAGTTAAATTATTCATTTTGAATGCTTTTTGTCATTAAATGCAAAACTTCAGACATTTGACAGCTTTTGTTATCTTTATAAGTGCATTAGCTGATGTAATTTGAATGATTTAATTTAATAATGTATATTAATGCGTAATCTAATTTATAATTTGAAAAATTCTTATTTTAAGAAAAAAACTGTACATAATTGAGTTTCTGATTAATTTTCTTAAGTAAAAAATATTTTCAAAATCCTTATCCAGTAATCATAATCAACTTGATCAACTTATAAATAACATTCAGTTCCTGAACCTTCTGGAATTACAATATTAATTGCCTTTTGATAGTCTTTTGATTGATAGTTTTCACTATTATTTTGAATTAGTTTTTATTTTTATATTTATATATTTTTATTTATTTATAATTTTAGTTACATTTTTAATCATTTTATTGTTTTGTCCCTTATATTCGTTTTTTTATGTCTATATAGTTTTTATTCTATTTTAAATTTTAGTTTTAGCTATTTAGTTGTTATGGAGGCCGTTTCTGCAACTGAATAAAAAATTAAAAATTGCGACTTTATCTTGCAAATCGTGGATTTTTTTCTCACAATTTTGCAATTTTTTCTCACAATTTTGAGATATAAACTCGCAACTGCTAGTTTTAAAATCCAATTCTGAGGGGAAAAAATATTATTTTCTTACAATTGCTTTTTTTTTTTTTTATTATTGCATGATATAAATTTGCAATTCTGAGAAATAAAGTTGCAACTGTAAGAAAATACTAGTCTTTCTTCCCCTCAGAATTGGACTTTATAACTCGCAATTACGAGTCTATATCTCACAATTCTGAGAAAAAGTCACAATTAACTTTTTTCATTTGTTTATTCAGTGTTGGAAACAGACTTCCATAACTTTTAGTTAGTTCGTGAAGTTAAACTAAATAAAAATGTTGCCATGGCAACCAGCTGAAATAAAACCGGTTTCACTGATACTTCTGAAGGGTTTTGTGTCCTGACCCTGCAGGTGGAAGAGCGAGCTGCAGTCCGTGGTTCGGTCGGAGGGCGCTTGTGTGATGGGCAGCAGGAAGGATCGGTATCCTCTCAGCAAACAGCTCATGAAGCGCAGGAACGCCTCCTGGATCTCCAGCTCCAGCTGCTTCTGACGGCCGTAGATCAGATCGTAGTCCGTCAGCAGGAACTCCAGCGTGGCCTCCTCCTGACCCGGAGTATAGACTGACGGACCGAGAGAGAGAGCGTGTGAGGACAGGAAGTGACATCATCAGTCAGTGTGTGTGTGTGTGTGTGTGTGTGTGAGACTCTCACTCACTCTTCTCCAGAGTTTTGTGCAGGTTGGACAGAGAGTTCAGCAGGATCTTCCCATGTTTCCTCGGCAAAGACCTCCAGGACAGAGGCTTCTTATCTTCAGACCTGGAGACACAAATACTGTATTAATACAGTATATACATACTAATACAGTGATAAGATATATAATCATACATACAAGTATTATCAAAAATAATGTAAAAATTGTGAAATATTATTCTAATGTAAAACAGCTGTTTTCTATGTGAATCTCTGTTAAGCTGTAATGTATTTCTGTGATGTGCAGCTGTATTTTCAGCATCATTCCTCCAGTCTTCAGTGTCACATGATCTTCAGAAATCAGTATAATATGCTGATTATTAGATACATTTTTTATTATTATCAATGTTGAAAATACTGTGATGCATTTTATTTTTCAGGATTCACAGATGAATAGAAAGTTCAAAACAACAGCGTGTATTTAAAATAGAAATCTTTTGTTGCATTATACAGTTTTTTCAGCTACTCACACACATTTTCAAAACTTCACACACAAATCCAAGAACTGCACACAAAATGCAAAAAGCCTCGCATCTCTTGCAAAACAAAGCACTGCATTCAAAACATCACAAACACATCTCAAAAGCAAACATTTGCCATAATATTAATTCCTGTTAGATTTGTGTGTGCTACAGAGAATCGTGTGTTGTGTTTAACAAAAAGTGTTTTATGAAATTGAAAACCGAGTCAAAGTCTGAGATCAGTGTCTGGTTTTGCAGATTTGGTGTGTGCTTCTGCTGTTTGAGTGTCAGCTTTCAGAAACTGTGTGACGAGTGAAGAGTTAGTGTGTAAGCAGTTGTAAAAAGTGTAATTGTGTTCACAGGAAGACTCACTGGAAGATGGTGTTGGTGTCCAGATCCACACACACCACGTCAGTCGGCGGATCGTAAAGCTCGAAGTAGCTGGAGTGGACGCCCACGATGAAGGGCATGGGAGCGCACAACACGTCTGCCATCCGCAGCGGACACAGCGGGATATACGGGCAGTGCCAGCGCAGAGGAAACGGCATCTGACACAGGAAACGACCGTCACATGACCGGCAGAGACAGGAAGTCACACCGACTGAGTTACACTGGTACTCCGGGATGCATGACACTGTTTTCAGCCAAGATATCTAAACATTCTTAAATCAAGAAGGATCTTCTAGACAAGTAAAAATTATTGTCTTGTTTTCAGAAAAAACAAGTCAAAATTAAGTGTTTTTGATTAGATTTAAGAATTTTTTTTAGATATCTTGGCTGGAAACAAGACAAAAAAATCGAAGAAAAGCATTTTTTGCAGTGTAATTTCATCAGAGTTACTGCACTTTCAGAAATCAAGAAAACATCAACTCGAGTGGTTTGATGTGAAAGAAACAGAGTATCTCAACAGAGATCAATAAACTCAAAGTTACACGTTTGTTGATGTGTTCAGATCATCAGCACTTTTTACATACTTTTATGTATTTGCAGTGAAATGACTGGATTTATTTTTCTATTAGATCAGTGATTCTGAACCGGGAGCCTCAAGATGAATTAAAATCATTTAAAATAAGACAAAACAAGTTAAAAAAAAATTTTTTTAAATCTAAATGTAATTTGAATAAATTCTTATTTTATTTATTTTTTTTGTTTAATTTTAATTTAGTTTTTAAACAGCTATGTTTTTAAAGAATATTTGTAAGTTTTTTTTTTACATTTTTTAAAATGTGATTTCTAGACCTAAAATACCAAAATAAACAAAATATTAAAAATTCATGCAAGTTTCTTATTAATTTGCTTATTGTAAATAAAAATACATATATATCTTTTATTTATTTATTTTATTTTTTTCAAAATTCTTATCTAGTAATGAAGTTTAAAACAAAAAAAATCAAAATGTAATTGGAATAAATTTTTCTTTTATTTAATTTTGAATTTTTTTTGTTTAATTTTAATTTACTTTCATTTGTTTTTTAAGAATATTTTAAAGTTTTTTTTTCTTAATTTTTAAAAATGTGATTTCTAGACCTAAAATACCAAAAATACCAAAATAAACAAAATATAAAAAATTCATGGAAGTTTCTTATTAATTTGCTTATTATATATATATTCAAATTTTTATCTAGTAATCATGATCAAATGGATTAAAACAAATAATTTAATTTAATTTGTAATAAAACAATTAAAATGTCATTTGATCATAATTCTTATTAATAATTGATTGTTAATTAATTAATTATTAGTTTAATATTGATTTAATGTTTCATTTATTTAAAAAAAAAAAACTGTGATTTTTATGTCACATTTCTGAACAAATTATTTTATTATATGTTAAAAATCACTGTTCAGTAATCATGATCAACTGGATGATCAACCTGGTCAAAAAGAGCAAGAACAATCAGCTCTTCAATCTTCTAGAATCACAAAATGAATTGCTTTGAATTATTTTATTATTGTAGAAGTGAAAAAATTTATGGAAGTTTAAGTTTACGAAAATAGAAAATGTAAAAATTAAAATATTTATATTTTACATAAAATATATATTTTTACAAAACATGTTTTACTCTAAAACTAGAAAATTACAACCAAAAATCTGAACAAGTTGTGTTTCAAATTTGAAGTTGGTATCTTAAAAAGTGAGCTTTCAGTGAGATTTTGTTTGGACGCAGTACCAAGCTTTTCCACTAGATGACCATCAAACCCTATTAGTAACCATATAAGGGCGCCTTCATTTCCATATATGGTTTGAGTGATCCGAAACATGTTTTTCCATACTTTTCTCAATAATTATGAAGTAGACATCACATTCAGAAGTATTAAGGGCAGTATGGCAGTATCTGATTTCAATGCAACCTCTAAAAAACACATAAAAGACATACGACGAGAACCTTAGGCCTATGTTACAGTTCACGCTGCATCAAAACAGAGAATCTATTGGTTTTTTTCTTTATATTCAAAACACTTTTAGACCTTTTTTCTCCTAAAATAGAATGGATGTTATCTTTTGAACACTTGACATGAATGGAGGTTTTTCATGATTTCATAACAGCATCACTATTTCAAAGTAAAGGTCAGAACTCGCTCTCTGACTCTGATGAGTACTCTTCTTGCAAATTAATAAATTACAGTTGCTCTGTAAAATATTTTAAAAATTAGTCGCCAAATATGAAAACTAGAGTCTTTAAGCTTTCAAATGATATATAGTTTGTCAAGATTACTTTAGGTTCAGACTAGGATATTAATGTTTAAAAAGTAATGAAAAGTGACAGTGAACAGGTTTTTAAGAGAAAACTTGATCTGAATAATGACACTGCTGTCTGAATCAGAACTGAAGCACAGTGGAGTTCCGTCACTGATTCGGTCCTCGTCTGTGTTGTATGAGGCGCTGTAGAGATGAGTGTGACTCACGGAGACGAGCGCTTCGCTGACGGACGTCAGAACATCGGGCCGCAGCGAGTGCAGCAGCAGCTTGTGTTCGGTCAGAACCGCCAGCAGCAGCGAACACGTGTTCTCCGGACCCAGATTCTGCAGCAGCTTCACAAAACTGGCCCCACTGAGAGCAGAGCATCAGCCAATCAGAACACAGAGAACAGACGCAGCAGCCAATCAGATCATCAGCAGAAGAACTCACCTGAGCGGCAGCGGAGACGACACGGGCTGACAGAGCAGCAGATTATCATACGAAGAGAGCTGAGGACACACAAACACACAGTTAATACACACACTCACACACACACACACACACACACAGTTAATACACACTCTCTCTCACA